GCAGATAATGTCTTTACGTAACAGGTGAGACATGGAATATGGCACCAAAACTTCCATTTACGATAACTTATTCTCTGCAATATTTGCACGACGATTACAAGCGATATGTTGGTCATTAGATTCGTTGTACATTTCTCCTTTTTGCTTGAATATATTTTGTTTTTTTTTTCAATTTTTTTAAACAATAGTCATGCATATGTGACTAGGCTTGAGTTTTACACTTTTAGAACAAACGATGGTAAACATTCTGCACCTTTAACTGAAATCACATCAGTCAAATAAACGCAAGCTAAATTTGGCTTCTGTGCACCTATGGCTTTATAAACCTGTCGTTGAGTCTCTCCTTATGTACATTTTGCTTCGCCTATTGTAATTACTTATTTACGCTTACTCATTCCTTATTTGCATTTTTAACCAACAAACATTAGTTACTTTAAAGGAACTGGAACATTGTATTAACAAATGTGCGGAAAAATGATGAATATTTAAGATATTGTAAATCTGAGCACTGTTTCATCAAAAACATTTGAAGATTTTAAGTCCCTTAGCGGTTTAAGCTAATAGACCCAATGTCCATTTAAGCCCAATATTTTGCTGTGGTGGGACTGCTCTCTCGATAATATATATATTAACATTAATGTGACGATGATTTCTAGAGTTTCACAAACCCCTAAATTTACTGATCTCTGGCAGCTGCCACCCTGAAACAATGTTATAAAGACAAACCAGTAAACTGATTTTATTAAAAAATAATTACAGACAGCGAATTCCTTGCTTTTTAGACAGAAAGACGAATCTGTGTTAATTATGATGTTAACAAAAAAAAGTGGAATTTGACTATATTTCTTGCATGTCCAACCAAAGCGAAGTCAAAAACTCTTCCTTGAAGGTGCTTAAATCAGTGTGAAAAAATGACTGAGCAATCAAAAATGGTGTGGTTTTTTTCTCATTTTGACATTAAGTCCGAAAAAAGACAGAATAAATGGCCTGATGGAGCTTTAGGATTTGTCTTTCTTGAATATTAATGGCAGTTAATGATCCGATCTTTATCCATTTTTTAAAGACATAATTGCATTTTAAACCGAATTAAAGGTCAAAAATTCATCAAATTTAGTTGTTTAAATGCACATTCAGTCCTCTGTCATTAAGATAAGTATGCATAGTCCCTTGCGCCAACTCACGCAAATGTTAACGTCTGCACATTTCCACCTTGACTGTAAAACATGCAAATAAACAGTAGTTTTACTCCACTTCGACTTACCCAAATTTCTTTCAAGCAACCCATCAATTGTAAAGAATAATCAGGGTAAAGTGTATGGGGTTGCTGTGGTTGCCTTTTTAAGTGTGATGGTTTGTTTAATATTACATTTGTTTAATGAAAATTACTTGTAACTGGTATTCTAAAGAAGAAGCGAAAAGCCTTTGGAGATTCCAGCAAGCAGATGGCTGGTATTCCCAAGTCCATTTGTCCTATTTCAACTCCCCACAGTCCAGAATTAAATTTCGCATAGTCTTAGCTTGTTAGCCAATTAATTTAAACTTCGATTTAATTAGTTTAGTTAGTCTCATTTGTGACTTTTCGAGATGTTACTACCAACCCGAAATTTGGAATCATTTTAAAACGCGATGGAAGGTTTTCAAGTACCTCGAGGATATATATATGGCATCCCGATCTTTCCGTCTTTTTAACTTCTAATAACAATAAGTATTACTTCCCAGTGATTTAACTACGTACGTAATTTACCATTTATACGTTCTGAAAGCCATCATACTATACCTAACATTAGGTTTAGTGTTTGTAATCCTGATATGTACTGTGGCAAAATGCGTCCTATATCTTCTTAAAAAAAAACCAGCAAAAGTTCTAAAGTTGAATTTATTTCAAAACAAAGTAAATTTAATGAAAATTTGTTAGGACTAATTATAAAATTACCAAACAGTCAGGCAAATTAAATATTACAATGTAAGTGAAGGACGTCCCTGCGCCATTATATTTAAAAGAGAACTTCAAACACGAGGGTTAAGCACAAAGTATTAATTGCAACAAAATACTTATGCATTCTTACTTAAACATCGCTCAGGGCATAGAAATTCTTTTAGGTGTGGCACTAAAAATTAGTATTGGCTAACTCCTGTGTGAATATCAGCATTTTAATTTACAAATCAATTTTAAATGAATTTGATTACGAAGTTTGGAGAAAAGCTTTTGCCATCTCGGTGAGGAAAATAACCTGGCCAAAATTGCAATAAAACACTGTTCTTAACGCCATCGTTGTCGTAATGGGTCAATTGCCACCGGATTTATGCTCCACATTTTTTTTTTAAATTCACCATTGAGTTTTAGCAGACCTACCTATCATTGCTCACAAATTTAGTTTTCTGTATTTGGGTTCCACTAAAAACTCCAATCTCTATTAACTGATTGTAAGGTGAAAAGTCTGTTAGATCGTTTTTGCTTTGAATCATAAATGGGATATTATTATAGTTGACTACGGAAGTGTGATGCTGTTATACATCAATATGGTAAATAGAGCTTGAAATTCACCAGTTATATTCACTGCAGTTTACATAATACCACAGCCCAAAGCGAATCGATAAGAAACAAAGTTTGACTGGAAAGAGTCTACCCAGAATAATATATATCACAGGTTCATCTTTATTTTACACTTTATCTTACCTTTTATCGGAAATAAATGGTACCGTACTTCCAGCTAAATGTTTTGTATGGACATATTGATTTGGACCAACATTAATCTAATGCAGTGTAGTGTTGCCAAGATGTCTACGAACCGAACTAGACTTGATCATTCAACAACAAATTCGAAACTACAATGGGGCTTAAAGCCAACGCAATCGCTAGATGGTAAAATAAACCCAGCAGAATACAAATTAAGACTTTAAAAATACCCAATATTTTATATTCACTTTCAATTGCATGCGTATAAGTCCCACAGGCACATTCGTTATATTATAATAGTTAGCTTTTTAAGAATTACCGGTTACATCAATTTCGGATGCGATTTGGTATCATCGGTAACCTCAAATTCGCAAGCCAAACCATAGTTAAAAGGCTGGCAGATACATCGACACATGTCCACGGTGTTTCTGGGTAAAATCGTAATGCCGTTGTTAAGGCAGGGTCGCATGCAATGCAGGACTTCGTAGATGATGCGTCTCAACGCACCAGAAGCCTCCTCAGCGGATATCGGAAGGTTGTTGCTCATTAAGCTCCTCTTCTGTCCACTCTGAAGACTAAAATGCTCCAACTCATCATCAAATCGAGGGTAATGCATCAGAGAAGGCCCAAGTCGGAGGGGCAGGACCTGGCTTATGCAGATGAGGTTGAAAATAGTAAAATATAAAAACATGTTACTGTGGACCTAAGCACCCACACGAGGTGAAACTTATACTTGGCGGTTAGGCCAATCAGCTCACGGAAAGATTGGACAAGATTCGTAGGGTGTACTCAGACGATGAATGGTGGTGAGGTGCTGGGGTGGAGGACTGCAGTATGCCTGTAAACAGGAAAATCCATTGGATTGAAAGATAAAGCCACGTAAGTTGGGTAGGGGGATGGCGTGAATGATTGTGATTGATGATCTGCTGGGACGAACGCGATCGCAATAAACCCGATTGTTTAAAGCTTATGTGAAAAGGTAGACCAGTAATGAAACTGAATTCAGCCACCAAATTAATTCCTAAAATGTCTCAGCCATTTTTTAAAAAAAACCCATAAAATTCTTTTGTATTTGGATGTAGTGCTGCACTATGCATGAATTCATTTTAGTGCTTTAGAAATTATTAGCACTATTCTATCCTGTAAGGCTTTAGCGATGCCATCGAAGCTATTTTGCTGAGTGTCCACAAGTGAATTTTAAACGGTTTAGTTGAACCCAGCTCAACATCTCAGATACACCGCATAATAACGTTGGACCTTGTTATTAAATGAAGAGGCCACAAACAATGTAATTAACACTGTGTGCATCTTCGGACCTTTGCACGATTAAAAATGCGCACAACTCCACTTCAATACCAATTCGATGGGCTTTTGCTAACAAACTTGTTGTGGAATCTTGCTATGAGGCACGTAATTTTGTTAGCTACCATAAGAAAAGTTAGGACTAATTTCAAATGGCAAAATTAGTCAATTAACTTCAATTTATGGGGATAAATAAGTAAACTTTAAGCCACTTGAAAGACTAAGCCGACAAATTTTACATAGATCGCAACTATTCTAATATTAGCCCTCAGTATGTATATTATCAAAATATTTTTAAGTGAAAACTCGACGTACAGACCAGTTCGAATTACCTTCACGTTCTCTCATGATGCTCTTTTCAATTCAGTGTGGTGAGTTTTATAATATTTGGACAAGTTTATCTCACACGCTTTTGTAGACTTCTAGAAGGTTTTTTTAGGGATCCCATTTAAGTTTTCCCCATTTGTTTTTTTTTGTCGCAAATTTTGACAAATGATTTCAAGAAAATTATTCGTTTTGTTACAATTTACGGTTGTAAACACTGCTACTTACGTAGGTCGTCTCATTTTAACAACGTCTCGATAAGTCACAGTAGGGCAGGGTGGCTTTAATTCTGAACAATCATTAATCATTTCTCCGCTCTCTCTGGCTAGGGTAGAGGTGTGTGTGTGTGCATGTTTAAATTTAAGACGGCATTTTACATAGAAAATACTAAGGCATAGAAAACAAGAAGAAATTTTAAATGTTTACCAATTACGGTTGTTAGATTTTATGAAAAAAAAGTAGGAGTGTTTTTCAACAAATACGACTTCCTTGAGAATTATGGCGCATGAGGAGGCACAACTAAATTTGTATTCCCTAACACATAGAGCGATATTTTGCACGTAATTATACCAAAGGGTCTAATTTCTATCAGGGCTCACAGCGGTATAAGAATCTCAAAAAAAGTACGTGGAAGCCCAAAGGGGTATAAAATTGCGTTAGTACTGCGCTTTCTTCAAAGTTGCTGCAGCCAACAAACAGTAGATCATTTACTTTGCTCAAAATCCCACTAAGATTTTCGATAGAGCAAGTAAAAAGCACATCCTACGCGTTCACCCAATGTGTGTATCGACAAGACAAATGCATCTCCTCATCTAGTTTACATTTTCCGTAAAATAGGCTGAATTGAAGCTGGTCTGGAACCGAAATTGCAGCTCCTCAACTCTAAAGTGATTTTTAAATCATGAATTGGCTTTGTCAGTCAATTTTGCCACCTAGAATTGGACCAGTTTCCAAGATCACTTCCACGAAGGCCTTGAGGACTCGGAAATAAACACGTTCTGTTTGTTTCAAACTATTCAAGGTAATGTCCAGATAAATGAGTCTGTGAACGGAAGGCATTAACACATCCGGGTAATTGATCCACGACTTATGCTGGCGGTGTTGTCCAACAAAGGCAACTGCATCGCTAATTTCATCTAAGATTCCCAAACTATACCATTAGCAGCCGCTCAAAGAAGGTTCTAAGCGATGGGACGTACTTGGTGCATTTCTAAACAAACAACTTTAGGCCACTATGGGGTTGAATTATGTGGCAATGGATCTGAGGAAACCGCGGAATTCCCGTCCATAAAAATCTGGTCGAAAAATTTGCTTTTCTATCATCACCAAGGCGAAGTCGTTGGCGCGTTGATTTGTGCTAATCCCTCAACTGCTGCTGTCGTGGATGCTTATTGCCTTAAGTGTAATTAATTACGTCTGTGGTGTTGTTAAATGAAATTTATGTTTTTCGCATGTGAAAGCCCAGACAGAAAGTGATGGCTCTCGTCAATATAAATTAGGAGCTTAAAATATCGCGTTCAGTCACCACACCGAAACTGCTCTGAATAGCACTAAATATCCTATTGTAAATTGTAATCGAAAATCGTCCTTTCGAAGTAACAAAAATGGCGGCTACACTGGTGCCAACATTACAATCACCTCGTTTAGTGGAAAGCAGAATAAACAGTCGCATTTAGTCTTCACAGTTTAACCAAGCACTGCCTACTGATTTTGATGTCTCAGTAGCCAAGAATCATCCTATTAAATGGCTTTAAATTTCAAACCTTAGAGAAATGCTTACCCCTTTGTATTCTGCCCAAAAGGATATCAAAGATATAGACTTAGCGCAAAATATAAGGCATGTTGTTTTATTTAACCAGTTTTACGAAGCGAATTGGTGCAAATTCATGATCCCACTGGCTAGCCGTGAATTCCCTGTCAATTGTGACGCTTTCCTTAACCAAGCTTGCATGTACAACGCATCCTAAAGACCAAAAGTGAATTTAGTAAGCTTTAACAAAAACCGAATGTTCATTCAAGTAACTTTTTTTCATAATTGCTCTCTAATAAATGTTTAAAGTTAATGGTATTGTATACAAAATCCGGAAAATCTGCATTACGATACGCATTGGGGCAAAAACCACGGTCTTCTTGTGTGCAAAGGCAGTCATTCACATGAACGCCGTCTTGGAAGCGCCGCCTAATTCTCCTTCCTCCCACCCCCGCCACTCCTCTTCTCCATCCTGCTTGTCAACATAACCGTCTGATGAATTGTCGTTCTGTTCTTCTTCCACCGGATCCCGGACGTAGAGGAAACGCGAACGAGGCTTCCTGGGAGCCTCAGAGGTGACAGCAGTGAAGGAGTCAGTCCTTGAAGGTGGAGCTGGTGAGGGTGACTCGAGGCTCTGTCGAGCGGACATTCTTCTGGAATACAGAGAGGTGTGGTTGGGGCCGCTGCCAAGAACCAAGACTGGATAGTCCACTGGGGGGGAGGGCATGGGCTGAGCCTTCTGCACTGGCGCAGCCTGGTTTGAGGAGGGAGGTGTGTACCGCAGTGGGACAGGACCGCGCAGCTCGTCAGGACAGCAGAGACCACACAAGGACGTCCCACGAGGCGAGTTTGAGAAGTAGAAAAAGTAGAGCTGCAGGAAAATCGCGCCGACCCATTGAACGGTTACTACGACCAAGAGCGCGGGCAGGTAGTACCAGGAAGCGGTGAATGGAAACTTTGCGTACCAGGCCCCAACCATTACGGAGTTTTCGAGGTAGAAGATGGTGTAGTAGATCATCGAGCGTAGACGCGTTTTGCCTGCACTGCCATTGAAGAAGTCGAAGATGCTGGCGTACGTATAAAGGAGATCCCCACCAAGGTGCTTGAGGATACCTTTGGACTGATACGTTACAAAAAACGCATACCAAAATCAGAGTCCAAGTTTTAATGCTGGTAAAGTCTAACACCTCACTTCAAGCCATTATGTGCCATGAAAGGCTGTTCGACCGTAAAATTTCCAAACGATCTGATTACATCGAAGCTATTTACGTGTTTCGCTCACTACGTATAGCCGTGGCATAACAATGGCGAACAATTTTTTTCCATTTAAGGTTACGGGAAATAGATCCCAGGAGCACATATTTAGTTCGAGCAAATTTACGTATCAGCATATCTTAAAAATTTGCCCAAAGTATTTCAGCATATCTTAAAAATTTGCCCAAAGTATTTCACAATAAACACAAAGTTAAAAAAGCGTCAACGCTTTATGCCAAAAACCGGGTCAATTAGAAGAGATTCCTCTTTTATAAGTCACAGAAAATGTGTGCACGCTAAGAATTGAATAAAAGTACAAAAATCAGGAGCTCCAACGCAGACACAAAATTTCAGGGGTTGTGCCAGCACAGGCCTCATAAACGCGAAGGCCGGGAGGGCTAGAGTCAGCAAATAAAGTTTGTTCGAACTAGGATGGTACCTATGCCCTCAAACCAACTTATTGTGGTTTAAATAAGACTGTGTGCACAAACGGAACCAAAGGGAACATGTATGGTGCTATTGGAAACTACGTGGAGAATACCAGGGAAATTTGAGCGTGTCAGATGTCAAGGCTAATCACTAAGCGTTGGCGGTTTGGTTAAACTCAAATTCCCACCAATGATAAAGTATTCGGCGATTTTATTTGCTATTTAAATAATCCAACAATCGAAAAAAAGGTCTTAAATCAGGGAAAAAAGTAACAACAGAAGAGTCAAACAGGAAAAAGAATCCTCGTACAGAGACCGGCCAGTCAATGACCTCAGACGTGTTAAAATGACTCGGCAACGAAGTGTGAGGATGCTGGGACTAGTCGACAGCTTTAAGTAAAACAGCGGCAAGATTAATAAATCAGTTTACGGTGGTTCCTTCAACAATTAAGCCATGGTGCGTGTTCAATTTGCCACACGGGGCCCCAGTTTGCAGAGTGCACAAAACACGACTCGTTCAATACCTTCACGGCGGTTGGAAGCAGAAAACCTTGGCTCTAACCAATGATTTTAAATTTTAAAATAAATGATTGTCCACTTTTCTTTGTCTACGAACGTGCGTGCGAATAAGTCTTTGAAATCATTATAACTGATCAGTCCAATTATAATAATCGAATTTAAAGCTTCGTTTGACTGAACGATATCAAAAACACTTTTATTTTATTATTCTGCTAAATAAACTAACAGTTTGAGTTCCCTAACGAGTGAATTTTACTTTTATCACCAGAATTCACTCCAATTCACTCCGATGCAGGTACGTTAAAACTTCTGTAGACCTGTTAATGCACAGCATGTTTATCCAGTGTCAAGATATAAAAGAACATGCGCATTACGAAGACTCAGGCTGAAAATTTATGAAACAATGCAAAAAAATGTTAGGATATTTCAAAGTCGTGCTAGTCCTTGACAAACCGGTAGCAAATTATCTGTACTTCATTTGAGGAAGCTGACTCAATACGATCACAGAGGATACGTGAATTGAATTTAAAATACAGCATTTTTCAACCAGAGTTCCCGATAAATGGTAATTAGTTAACTTAAACGTACTAGTCACTTTGTAAGTAGCAGAGGCTATCAAGGGCAAGAGCAAATTTTCAAATAAACACAATTACAAAGCTCCTTACTGGCCATAACTCGGTGTCAAATGCTCCCTACTAGTTTAACTGGCACATTCATATTCCAAAGGTAAGCTGACAGGTCACCGAGCGAATGGCTGCTACGGCCTAGAAGTGTGCAGGTAGTTTAAGGCGTTGATAATGCGACCAACCTTTAGTCTTTCTTCAAATGGCCTTCGGTACTGCGGGTTCGCTTTGTAGGCGGTGGAGAGCACACCTCTGCTGCCGCGGTACACCAACAGACTGACGAGGTAAATGGCGCAGTGAATGCCCAGCACGGCTGCCACGAGCCAGCCAAAGAGGGAGACGAAGAGCATTAGGGCGAGAAGTCGCATAAAAATGTGGAAGGAGCGCGCGAAGAACATGAGAACACGTCCCCCCGCCGAGACGTGCTTCTCACGAATTCCACTGCGAAGCAGGTCCGTGGGGGAAAAGTAATGGGCATCTGGTTGGAACTGACAAGCGGCTGAGGCCAACCATAGGAAGGAGAAGATGTAAGAAGCTAAGATTGCACCAGCTGTTAAAGCAAAAATGTGCAGAAGGTTAAATTCAGCACATAGTCACTTGAAAACTGAGAACAGCTAAACCTGTACTGAAATAGAATTAGTAGAGGTAAATTTGTTGACTTACACGTGGATAAGGGCATCATGCGATTAAGCATGAGACGCCGCATGTAGAGCACGCCTTGGGCGATTGCGAACGGACCAGCCCCGAGGGAAGCATTCGCTAGCGCAACCACACAAGCGTCAAAATCCAACTGCACAAACAGCCGACGCAGGCGACGTAATTTCCGCAGCTGCTTGGCTAAATCACTCGTTTCAGAGGCACCTAAATTAAAAGGGGGATACCTTTTACGGGCACCATTCACCGGGACACTTCGAGGCCCGACTAGCTGATATCCACTGTAATTGATTTCGGTCACATAGATCCAATAAACGCCCGAGTCTGGTGTGAAATTGTACGGCAAGCTAGTTTTGGAAAAATTGAAATTTTTGGAAAATTAAGGGATGGCAACAGGTGCACTTTAATAAAGCATAATGCGCTGGATGAGATTTATTCTGGAAAATTACCTTTTCAATCCCATTTGGATGCCAATAACTGGAACTTAATGCAGTGTGAAATTGGCTGCAGTGTGTACCGGGAAATTCACTGTAACCTGAGATCGAGTCTTACCAAACTCTGTTTACCAAATGAGTAACACGAAGAGGTTTAAAGACGTTAACTATTTGGAGAAGGCAGTGCCCCAACGCCAGGTTGTGCTTGTTGAGAAGTCATTAAGCTTTTTCTTAGACTATACCAATGTCAACCGACTAATATCTTAGTTCACTTATGGCAAATTTACGGTAAATTATTTATCAAAGGTAGCGTTCGTCTTCTATTCGTGTTTCAATGTAAGCCAGCAAGCAATGTTTTCGGTGTGACTGGATCCTTTTCTGTTGTAACTTTCTGTGATTTTACTTTTCATTCGATAATCTCAATGAAGGTCTAGATTACGAAAAACACTATTGTGTGATAAGGCGTAAGCACCCCCACTAGCTACAGGTGAAACGCAAGGAGGTCAAAGGAGGACAGTCGTGATTGTCGAAAAATCACCAGCCACTTGTGGCAGGGCAGTGACCGCGGCAACAACTCGTCCCACGTTACTCCACTTACTGCGTCGATTTTCCGAGGACATGGAGAATGCCGAGGCGTTCGACATCATTTCTTGCTTGGGTATTCTATACTGGAAGGTAGGCCCGAGTGATGGAGGTGTTGGTTCCTTGAGGTACAAGCTTTCCATTGTAGAAAGGCGTCTGTAGATGGCGAACAACTCCACGTATCTGAAGTTATAAAACCACCTACTACAACGCCTGTTCACAGACACTGAATAACAAACACCGAAGCAATTATTTAACGAAATCTTAATGGAAACATTTTACAACGATGTCGTATGTAGACGACGAACGCAACTTACTGGACTTTCTTTAAAGGTTTTAAAGTTGAAAACTAAGTTTAATAAAAAAGATTGTTGATGAGTGCCATTGTATTTGTAACTGAGAGCACCAAACAACTTCATTTCCGGATTCATCGTCATGACAGATAAAATGCGAAGTTCACGAAATTTAGTCTTTAATTAATTGTGTAGTGACTGACTTGTAAATGTACACAATCAAATCCTGGATGCTGATGCTTAAAACTATCCTAGCGTGAGAAATGTGTTTTTTAAAGCACGCGACGCTGATTTCTGTTACAATGGGCGTATTGGTTGCTATGGCAACCATATTTCTGTACGTGCCTTTTCAAAGTAAGGATGAAAGAGAGATTCTTTAGAAAGCGAATCTTCCAGAAATGCATTAGTAATTTAAAAAAATCACAAATACGTTGTTTAGGTTCTGCACTGGCATGAAAATGCACCTAACAGTGCATCAGCAGCAAGTTTGCACTAAAAAAGAACAGCGAGACTACTTAGTTCCTGTAGGATCCACAATTACGTGAACACAACGTTTGGTTCCTTGGTTTTTTGAGGTCGCGTTTTCATGTTTTGAGGCGAACCGCTTTAAAACTTCAAAAATGCACATGAAGAAGGAATATGTGGGTGAGAAACAGCTTACAACCAAGCGTCGTTCTGCCTTGGTGCATGAATGCATGAAAAATCATGAGGGTTTTTTACAAAAGCAAATTCCTTAGGCTCAATTGAAGATGTTTCTCCGTGAAAAGTGCCACGGAACAACCGGATTCTGTAAATTACCATCCATTTGAGGGAAGCAGCTAAAGTAAACATCCCCATTAGACAATGCGAGGAAAAAAAGTGATGTCGCGGATTTCGATTCCACATAAATGATTGAGTGGAATTTGGATGGTTTGGATTCGTGTTCAAAACTACCTTGCAATGGGGGCCATGCCGACGAGCGAGAGGGCAGCTCGCGTGCATATCCACGCCTCGTGGTTCTCCTCGGCCGCCTTCGAGCGAGGCGTCGCAGCCGCCTGCCTCCACCGACGATAGAACAAGACCAGAGTGACGATGCCCGTCGCTGCGACAGAAAAGAGGATATTAACGACATTCAGCAAAAGGGGCACAAGTCAAAATGTTGTCTTTTTGTTTTTGCCATGGCGTCATTATAGAGACACAAGCAGCTTCCAAATGGGCTACATTAAAATGCTCTAGTTTTAGACTAAAATGTTTGGCTTAGAGCAGTGAGTACCTTCCAGTTTACCTTGGATTGGTAGCACTCGGTTTTAAAAACTAACAATACAAATATTAATTTCTGGTGAGATCCTTGGTCATTTATAGATCTCGGCACACGCGCGACTCAGATCCCACCTTATCCACCCCCGTTTTACATCATTCAGGATGTTTTTATTTGTGCCGCAAGAGCTTGGTAAAAAAGGCAACATATATTTGAATAGGGTCAGTTTAAACAGAAAACATGAATGGTGCTTAGTGATGCAGACTCCTGTTCGACTCAATGAATGCCAGCACTAATAGAAGTAAGCAGCCCATAAGAGGCTTTAACTGAGGAAATCATTTGTGAAATGAGTTGTGTGTGGGAACGTGCCACCCAAGAAGTGAAGTGCTAACTTGTGTGTTATGCACGCGGACACGTAGGATAGCAACTCCGAAAACCAAAACATCGATACGCAGAGTTTGGAAAGGCACTGCTGATCATCAATGGCACCAAAGCTATTTTGAAAGGCCCTCTGGCGAATTCGACCAATAACAGTAATGTGCCGAGCAATGTCGGATCTCAGTAAAACCGTTTATCATTTATTATGTTTAAACCAGAACAAAAGACATGAACCGTGCTTCTTCATAGATCCTTCACATTGCTAAATGTGTTTACAGTTGTGAAATATAGTTTTCTTTTGACAAAGCAAAGTGTAGATGAGACACGAGACGAAATAAAGAAGCGTTCATTTATAAGGGCGCAGTCCTATAGCCGTGTTTTAACATAGTAAAAATTTGCATTTCTAAACAGGTTGCAGATTGAAGACGGTAAATTTGTATTAGTGAATGAACTTAGGTGCTTGGTGTGAGTACTTTGAGGCAAAGTAACTCTATGGAACGCCTTGCTAGGATTGCTAGACGATCACCACAAATATACGAAATTTATAGACCAATTTATGCGTCGAACAGAGTGGCTATATTCTTAGATAAAACATCCTAACCTTGTGGTTAAAAATATCAGACGTCTAAATAGTATCTAGAAGATATGGAGAATGACCCATATTCAGAACTCTTTCCAGTAGCTATGACAGTTATTGAAGGCATTGGTTGACCATAGCTGCTGCCAGTTAAACGCCATGGTCTACATGCAATAAGTTGTAACCGCACCATTGTAATAGTTATGACAATACAAGATTTTGAAGCATGGTCAACTGCAGGTTCGCCTACGAAGCTTGCCTTGAGAGGCTGCAGACTAGGAAATTCATTTCAAAATCAATCAACTCACCTTTTTGCCTAAATTTGCGTATGATAGAAGTGTCTTACTGTTGTGGCAAGCAACAGCAAACGATCCCTGGGATATGTGACCGGGTGAAAAACGACAGAATGGGTTAGGCCTGTCGAATTTCATAGGTAATTTTTGTTCGACATTTGGGACGGTTGCATGGACAACGATGTCAGGGGAAGGTACACCATACTTAATTGTTGTATGTACCCATCGTTGGAGAGGCAAAGCTCTCTGAGCCCGTAAGTGAAGCTGTGTGTGAGCAGTGTGACAGGTATGCACTAGCAAAACCACAAGATAGGCGTGAGTGTAGTACACGAGTCTGTACTGGCAAAAAGCGATGCGTGCCGTGCGTTAATTTGAAATGGGGATTCGGAAGCAGGCAAGCACAAGCAATTAGTTAAGGCATCCTAACTCGTAGTTTATCTTTGGAAATGGTAAATGCCATATCAAAGGCTTAAAGTTGATGTGCTGACAGTGCGTACGTGATTCTAATGTTAATTAAAATTTTCGACTTAAATGCGTAGCATGTAATGATTTTAGGCTGGCATATACCTCTTCCGTTTATCATTAAGTTGTGTGATTGTATTGACGATTCACGATCAATAACCAAAAACTCCAAAAAATTCAACCGGATACCTCATTTTAGGATTCATTAGCGTCCATACCGGAGTACACAGAAGTGAACATTAAAACAATTATCGACGTCAGATCTAACGGGGAACCAACAACTACCCAATTAGATTTAATTTTATCAAAATGCCCCACAAATACTTGTCCTTATTCTCGTCTCTCAGGCTTTCGCTTCTAGGCATTTTCTGCACCAACGTAGATGGAAACACCATGTTTATCGCCGTACACTGAGGAGCTGTTTGAAGTCTATGCTTATCAATGAATTCGAGCAATTGAAGTGGGTTACCTGGCTGGTTTCAGTAAATGTGTAAATGAAATGAAGCGAGTCAAAGTGAAAACGCAGCTGCTTAAAGCTATAAGTTTACTTATTCTAAAATCAAAACGAAGAAACTTAGGATTCACTTTGCTACACGTGGATGAGGTGACTGTTTACACCGTCTTGATGATGTGGATCGGAATCCTAGCTAGAATAAACTTTCATTCAAAGAGTCAACGGGGAGTCGGAATGAGCAAATAATTGCAGTAACATAACTGAACTTATGTTTTCTTGAAAAAAAAATAATACAATAAAATCGCAACCCCCAGTTTTTGAAGTCCAATTGTTGAGAGCCACGCGAAAGCTGGAGTTAAGCAGTGTAGTAATTTATAATTGGTTCCTTCTTAGCCAATTAGAAGTCGTCGCCACGGTTTCTATTGGTAGTGAGACTGCAATTGGCTTCACTTAGCACATGGTGTTGAGAAAACGACGCGTTCTCAGTATTCAGTGAATTAGTTTTGGTAACAATGTTCGCGGTCCATAGTCGTAAAGGCATTAACGCATTCTAATTGTTAACGGATGTGAGGCAGGCTTGTGTGGTTTACCGATGTATAAAAATTTATGAACTCTGGTGCGACTATCGTAGGTGTGAACACCTGAACGTGGCTGGTATTATTTTTCCTGATAGATAACCGTGAAGATGTTTCTTGATATCAGAAATGACATTACTTTGTGAAATTGCACGCCTTTCATACTACGCTGGTCGATTTTGTTGAGGTCGAGTTGAAGAGTAAAAGTCGGATATAGTGGACATTGAGCACGTCACTCAAGAGCATAATTTCCCAACAAGTGTGCGGTTCAAAATGAGAGTCGCGTCTGAGGTGCATCTAATGGTAAAGGCTGATAAGTTGAAAGATTATCTGTGCAGCTCCATGATTCGAACAAAGGCTAAGGTGTACATTGGAAGCCTTTGAAGTAGTACAGAACTCTGTTCATTAATTGTACTGCTTGAAGAGATTTGAGTAAATTAGAGTAAAGTTGTGACGTGACGCAGGCACTAGGAAAGATTCTAAGGGGGATCGAAAGCTATTTGGAACAATTTAGAGGTCTTGGAGTATGGGTAGATTTGATTACTTACTGAAAATGAGCAGGATTAGTGAATTTCTGATTTTTATCCAGGAGGCCATAAGCGAAACAAGCACGGGAAATTCTCACATGACAACATTAAACCGCAGTCTGTAAAAATTACAAGAAGCACTTTCGGGCGGTGGGGTTATCAGGCCCTGTTTTTACCTGCATAAAAAAAATTCTACTATTACTTTACTGCATCAGGTTGACAGGCTACTTGAATTGTCCCTAATGAAGCTAATGGCATGTTTTTCAGCAAATATTTCACTTTTCTCAAGGAATGGACTAGCAGTCACTTTAAAATTCCGTACCAAGGAGTTTTAGTTCAACTCAGGAATGTCTGTTTGGTAGAATAATATTTACCAGTAATACGAAATACAGAAAAATGCTCATTATCGACAGTTAACCAGTGGTTGGTGTGTAGGTGAAAATTCATGGAATTAGTTTAAGCACACATTTCTTGTTTCGGACAGTGGCATCGTGCGAGCTGCATTTGACATTGAACCGCACGAATGGTCGAATGCGGCGAATTATGTTGAGAGTTCATTCAGCTAAATTTTGCATTTAGGCCTAGGAAAACAACCTGGCGCGTGTCTGGCCTCGAAGGTACACAAGTGCGTGTGAAAATCGCTGTGTTATTTGACAGAGTGATTCACATCCACAGTTGAGGTGGAGTGTGACTCTAGGCCTTTAACACAAAGAATCGGACCAAAGGTCCTTAATAAGTATCAAAACGAACAGCCACAGCAACGTGTCCCAGCATGGCACAATTTGGAATCTAGAAGGTTTCCTAAGTAGAAGGTGACAATCTTCCTTGTTTCAAACAATATCAAGCAGTAGTCATCGTTTTGTTGCCCGCAGTCATGATCTATAAATTCAACTTAAGAGACCAGCTAATGAAGGTAAGATGCTTCTTGACAATTCGGCTGTAAAAACTTAATTTGGCGTTTGCCGAAATCCACGATCAACCACCTGCACTCGGGTTCCCTTTGTTCGCTTCACTTTTAGCTTACAGACCGGCTGCTTCCCTTGAAAAACTATGCCAAGAAGAGTACAAATTACTGGTTCAAACAAAAGTCCAAACATCCTTTTATTGGCAGAGGCACCTGGGAGCATTGGGTTCGCAATGACATTTTGCGCGTCCATGAGTTTAAACAAGATCACCAGGCACTAATAAAAAAATTACCGATCTCACATGTGTCTTCTGATACAATATTGGCCTAACCCTGCCTTTAAGAACCTTTTATTATCGCTGCTCAATAAATTTGGTTAACAAATGAGGTCTCTTTCAGATGACCCACCGCGAATCAGTTGAAATTTACGCGATGGCATTTGAAACTATAGTTTCCCATTACTTCATTTACACGATATTTTAGTTTGATACATTTTGAATTTAAAAACAAAACCCTGTTGATTTAGGTAAACAAAAAGTTTAATTAAAAATAAAACTACAACTATTGAGGAGGTAGGCCATTCCCTAATGCTTAAGATGCGGTTAACGAGCGTTCAACAAAAATACTATTCTACTTGCGATGGAGTAAAAATAGCTACTGAAACAACTTCTGGGAGCACATGGTAATTGGTCGTTTAAATGTAAGTAAACGCAACGATTAGAAGTAACTGCTTCATATTAGTGAATATAAAGGCCACAGCAAAAAGGGCATTGGATGCACCTACCGAAAATATTCCCGAAGAGGAGCAGACCGAATGAAATGCCAACCTCTAATTTTGTGTCCTCTGAAAAGTCCACCACGTGGCATCCAATTACGGCGAAGGCAGAGGCTAATTGTACGAGACAAAGCAGGATGAGAATCCACCGAGACCAAAGAAGCGGGCCACGATCGGGGATGTAATCCAATGTAACTGACAGATTTTCCGAAATTTCCGGTGTAAATGCGTCTTGACTAGTAAATGAGTCAGCTGGATATTTCTAAAATTTTGATTAAATGAGCACTAAGGTTGGGAAAATTACATAAGGTAAGCAAAATTTTTAAAAGGTGGTCAAAACAAATTTTTTGGATAAGTAGCACCAAAATCAAACACTTTTGTGGGATTGCTTAAAATATGCATATTTAAAACCATCCTTTTGGTTAACGTAAATGGGGGAATATTGGCATTGTTACAATCCGAAGTTGATTAGTACCAAGTGTGTTAAAAAGCCAATTTTTTTAAACATTAGGCTGACAGAATTTCCCTATATAGGCTTTTGTTGCTGCAAACATCAGTAGTAAGGCTTGATGCGTGAAAAAAGTCAAAGTTTGAGGATGATCCGTGTTTGTGCTTCCCTGCTGCTTCAACTGTCACATTTGTTTATTTTATCCTATTGGACAAAATATCAATGCCTAACCCTACGTTGTCCATTATTTATTAGACAACTTTGCGCAGTGAATCTCGCTGACTCGGTACCATCAACTCCGTCACCGCATACTCCGGCTCACAGCCGACGTGGCAGTCAGTCATGCGTTACTGTCTGCCCATCCACTTCAGTGCATGTACTTTTCCCTGCTAATTTATTTACTCATTTGGCCATTAAATCTGTTGTATCAGAACTACGTATGGCATGCACTACTTTGACTACACACGCAACAAAAAAAACTAAGGTGAGACATCTAGTAAACAGCTACATCTCTCCCATCTCTCGCATTCTTAATCTCCTAAATCATTGTTGTAGAGTAAAAGTGCTGTGGTTCGAGACAACATACAGGGGATTTCAACAATTTCAACTGAATGTTGCTGAAAATTTCTCTTTTTCATTAGACTGTTTATTGTAAGATTTCTTGTAAATACACTCTTCTAAAATTACCAATATCCATGTTTATATGCACAATGTTTTGGCACCATTTGCTATCTGCGTTTTTTGTTATAATATATACGGTATAATAACTGAGTTTCATGTCACCTGAGAGCTAACAGGCCCTTGCAAATTGTTAAAAGAAGTAGAGTTTCCTTGGGATGGTTGATAACTGATGGACTCAAATGATCGCATTGACTGTACAACAGAACTTGGAGGTTCCACTGCATTATAAGTAGGATACCGCAAATCTGCTGGAGGTAAGTAGCGGGCCGGTTGTACGTCACCACTTCCTCTGGGCATGTAACGCCGCTGACTTCTTCGTTGTGCCTGACGAGTGCCCTTATGTGGTTTTGGAGGAGCAACACGAGGGTCCATTTGAAATTTCTACGAATGTAAAACCTAGAAATATAAGAAACTGATATCCTACATAATGCGAACCGTGGACTCATTTCCAACGAATGTTTTAGAAAGATTTATAGTCTAAACACATGCGTTAAAATAGCAAAAAAACAATTCAGGTCATACATACATAGTCAGAGAAAGCAACCAATAAAGTAAGTCGGTAAAGAGACGATTTCGAAACAATAATGGAGCGTTTTACAACAAAATGCAGTAAATCAAAAAGGAAATTCACATAGGTTTATACACAATATCATTAAATTCGCAGGCTACCACTAGCTACAAAATTGGCTCAAGATGGGTATAAAAAAAACTTATATTAGGCCTACACAACCAGCGCAATTTAGAACACTTCAAACAGTAAGATTTTAAATAAGAAAGAGAAAAATAAGAGCTAGAGGCGCAAAGCTATTTAATGATAATGAGCATTTTAAAGCTTAGTTGGACAATTAACAAAAGATCTAATGACGTATAGGGCAATTAAGGATTTTTATAAATGCAGAACGCTTTCATTGGTCCATAAAGATGCAGTCAACTCCCAAAGTCACAATAGGCACAATTAAACAAGCCACAGTGCTTAGCTGATAACTCCAAAATACTTTGTACTGTTGTTAAAAACAAAAAGACGAAACATCTAAATATTACGTTTCTTACATTATTAAGGTAGGTCAAATATTTTTTTCTAATTTTAAAACATATTTATCAATGGGATCCCGAAAAGTTCTCAGGGATATTTGGATGCACAAACGGAAATTTTAAAACAATTATTTCTAAGGTATTTATTTTTAAAATCATTAATTAACGCGATTAAAATGCAGGCAACCATATTAAAAGTATTATATCATGTACAATTAAAAATGCTCGTTCTGATGTCAGTATAAATGTGTTACCAAAACATTTTTACATTTTTAAAAATAATTACAAAAAAATCGACCTTAGTTACGCTACTTCGACAATTATGCTTCTGAAAATTCCATTCATGATTTAAGTGCTGCAATGTAATATTCTTTTAGATTAAATTTTTACATTTTTCAATTATCAAGTTCCAATTTCGAAATATTAAGTGTATCGTAAGACCTATGCATCCTAAATTCAACAGTAACTATTTTAAAGGAGAATAACTGCTGTCTACAACGCTAATATAGCAGATTATTTTAAAAAGCAATTTTTAATGCAATCAAATTTGGTATTATTATTTAAGTGGACAAATCATTACTTAACATGACCACCAAATTTCACAAACGCGTTATAAATTTAGGGAGCAGAAACTATTCTTGAATTTGGACACTTATATCGTCTTAAAAGCGTTGTTCTCATGCAAAGCAGATGCACAGCATCGCGTAGAGCCTCGGTGTAGTTAATCAGATTTTAATTAATCAATTATTGCCATCAAAACTAAAAGTCAAGAATGAACAAAAGTTGACTTTATCACCCTAAGGTCACACCAGGGTAAAATATCACGAAAAGGTGCATTGTATTTTTATATGACTTTATTTATTTTGGAAGCTTTTCCAGATGCCTGCCATCACATAAGCATATATAGGTCCACTTATTGAATAGTGTCGACTAAATTATTTTGAGAACTTAGAAGATATTAACAAGTAGTCATTGGTGCTGTAGGCCAAATTAAGTAGTCCTACAGTTTAGTATGACAGCTGCCTAAAAATGACTGACAGTTGTATACCAGGGTGCGAATTCATCAAAAAGGCAGGTTCCGAGAAATGAGGGCAGTGGGAGAAAATTGCGCGTCAGAAAATTTGACCAGATCACCAAAAATATGAGTTTTCAAGGTTTAAAGGCTTAAAAAAATTGAAAAGGATGTAAACGAAACCTTAGGCTATTATTTAGAAATTAGGTACCATCTCGAAATGTTATATCATCCGGAGCATAAGAGAGGAACGAAATTAAAATCTGTCTAAGAAGATGTTAAAAAATGAAGCTAAGTTGAAGCATATATGTGAAGAGATTAGAAGGCAGGTTGAGCAAGGATATAAATGATACATATTATCAACAGTTGAAGATGAGAAACGATCGAGGTCCAAGAAATAAAAAGAGGCAAATAAACCACAAATTTAAAATTTTCAGTAAGACTTAGGGCAAAGAATTGTCGCTCTAATTAGGTGGCATCAAAGAAAGAAGATAGAAATGCGTTTAAAGCTAGTGATCACAATTTGTTGATCGCCTCGGTTTAAAGTCTTGAACGACATTAGCGCAGCCGCTTTCAATTTTGTTCAAATATTACACAAATGCCTAAATAGACTAAACATCCGAGCTAGTAGAAATTTTTTTGCTAAATGGTTAACCTTCGTTGCATCGTTTTGTGTTTACGTTTAGAAATTGGTAATTTCTGATGCGGTTACTGATTAATGTATTTTACGTAAATTCGTATAAAGGTCAGGTAGCTGAACTGCCAGTTATTTGTAATGTGTAAGGGTATGGTCTTACATAGCTTACAAGCACACTAAGAGAAGGAACAGTGCGTCGAAGTCTCCACCGACCGGTTAGTGAGAGCAAAATAACTCAATTTGATACAGGTATTTTTGATAAGTCATGGGAATTAGTAAAATTCAAAACTCATTTTAGCGCAGATCATAATTATATTTCATGAAAAAGCACAGGGACATGTGCCCTTAAAAGTAAATGCTTAAAAAAAGCAAAACAAAACTTAGAAAATTATAGACAGCATCATTTCTACAAACGCAGGGTCTGAATGTCACGTTTAAGTTTCCAAAATAATTTCGCTCCTTTTTCGACAGATGAGCGCTGAAAAATGTCATTGACTAAATGTAACATTATTTTACAGTCCGTCTCCATTTATATGTTCTGATTCGCATTTCGACGTCTTTAAAAAACGGGCTTAGTTGTCGATACAATATGATGATTTTGCAGAGCATGAATGACCACAGCTGTAACAGATAGCTATGTTTCCAAACAATCTGCTCAGACAAAAAAGTGTCATCGGATAACCAAACTAAGCAAAATTGCCTAAATAAATGTGGTACTATTTTAATTAAAAGGAGTCAGAGCAGAAACACTGATATTTTTGTTTATATATTAAAAAAATCATTGAATAATAAGCAACTCGGTAGGTTTTCAGAGGGAAATAGTGAAGTAAATGAAACCCGTACATAGCTAGTTAGGAATATATGCGATTAAAACATTTATAAAAGAAGAAGAATCATTATTTTTGACTTCTCTAACAGACTCTTTTTTACCTGGCTACAAACTTCTGTAGTGAATTTTGTTCATTCACACTGCTTAATCCGGTCGCTGCACCTCCGGCACAGGGTTCAACTTTTCGCAGAATGTCGCCAGCCGCTCGTATCCTCAACTCTTCCCTTATTCACACGGATATTTGTCTTGGATTATCCTCACACCTAGGTCTCGCTGTTAGCGTATGTATGACTCACACATCCGAGGTGTGAATACACACATGCAAACCTCACACACGTCACAAACGTGGTTGAACTCTAAAGTAAATTTTTGTGTCCACGTCCTCTTCGATCCTTTTCTTCATCATGGATTTTGGCAAGCGTAAACGG